GTCGATGTTAACCAACGTTTCAGAGGTCATACTGCCTCCGTCATCAGGGCGATGAATGTGCCAATTGGCATCGACCAGACTACACGGCGCAACAACCCAGAAGACGGAAATCTTCATACTCACCGCTGTGAAAACCTCAAAGCTTACATTATTAATTGTAATTAGATTTTGTTACGTCGGATGTACAATAATATGAAACCTAAACATCATCTGTTGATGCGATCTTCGCAAAGCAGTTCCAAGGATATGAACTTGATAAACATTTTTTTATCAAGATTTTTAATCACTCAGTGCAAAAACGGATTATATCTAAATTTACAAAATGTGAGAACATAAATTATGCCCTTAACAGTTACTCCTTCAGTTTTGTGACCAATGTTCCGAGTCTGAATTAGTGGAAATGATTCTAATGAAAGTGTTATCACGTTATTTTTTAATTGTATGAATGTATGTGAATATTGTAGATATTTTTGTTCTTTTGCAAATTTTAGAGGGATTTTAGTGAGCAAACGCACGTTAAAGTGGATGATTCAATTACAAATGAATCTGACAATGTAAGGAGCCCATAGAAGTACTTTAGAAAATTCTGTGTCTGATCTTACAAGTACAGGGTGGGTGGGAAGTAAGTAGGCATTAAATAAGCGCTATACATTGGAAATATAGGGGTTATAACCATTTGTCAATGCCTACTTACTTCCCACCCACCCTGTATATAAAGCTTTTAATAGTGTCATGACATAGTGGAGCAAAAGTATCCCAGTGGACTTTATTCTAATGGAGAGGAAAATCAGTTGTATATTTGATCAGTCCATTGGTAAATGGAGAAATATAATTGTAGTATTGCTGTATTCTAGTAAAAGGTTTTTGTTTTCAGTTGTGATAAGGTGACGTGGTTGGAAGAACGCAAATTCTGGATTTTTGAAGGGTCGGTGTTTGTCGTGGGTGTCATTTCTACAACCTTTGTTTTTGCGCGCCAAAAAATTTTGGACCACCGAATGTTGAGACGAATTCAGAGACAGTTAGCCAGTGGTGTTTAAACTGGTACTTGGAAGTGGTTTAGAAATTGCGCAGATTTTTCTTACGTCTGTCTCTTAATATTGCAGACGTTAAGGAAAGTAATTGTGAAAGAAGAAAATATTTATAGTTACATGCATTGTGACTTACTTCCCTGTGACACTGAACTTGAAAAGTATCAAGTATGGATGAATTATATGTACAAGTATTATCGGAACCAGTGGGAGGTATTGTTGCAGTTCCGTTAGAGACACTTGTTACGTTATTTACTCTGAAATTTTGCAGACATTATTCAAGTTATTTGATATTTGTACTGAAGCCTGACTGTAAACCTTCGTTTAATGCGAAGGTCACAGATTTTACTTTTGAATTAATTAAGGAAGAGGATCTTATAGATGTTGCCAGAATATGTCAGTTGCCGGTAATGATAGTAGGAGATGGTACCACATGTGTTGCCGGTCTGTGCGCCGTGCTGCGGCAGGTCGTAAAAGACGCCACGGCACAGTCTTCGGGACACCGGTGTCGTTCGCTTTTGGGATTCCGACAGGGCTGTCTCATGGCATGTGCCGAGTCGTCTCTATGGACGCGGTTCTGCGAAGTAGACGTGATAAACACCGTGAAGAACCTGATGACCAAGGACTTCGTTCCTGTTTTAGTGACACTTCCAGAAGATGTGGCACGTTTTGAAATTCATATGAGCCAATCATTACGTATTCATAACATTCATAAGCAGAACAAAGATTATGTTAATTCTAAAGGTACTGCACATTTAAAGTTGAAACAAGGGGGACAGAGTATCAAGGAAGGAAAGCATAGTGGGAATGTGGAAATTGAATTGGACCACTGTTTCGCTGAGGGACCAGTGATGACACTCGCAGATGTCATACTCTTCCCTTGCATGCACGTAATCTTGCGTACTGTTCGTAGCGTGTACTTGCAGCCATCTCTCCCTTTAACACTGCAATGGTACGAGCTTGTAAAATTACAAGATGGAGTAGAAGAATCGATTGATATCATCATGGATATTCCAAGAAAAATAGTGGATGATCTTTACGTGAAATACATATTGCCTGCCGTTCCTAACCAGAGCTTGTATAAGAGCGATCCGAAGAGATACAAGCCGAGGAATCGCATATTTACGAGGCAGGCGGATGTGGAGACCTCGTTAAAAATGGTCAAGGAATTGGGAGTAATGGTTGACTGGCAGCGATATCCATTCGGTTGTGAGCTAGAATTTGACTGGGGTGCGATGCCGTATGAAGCGCACCCAGAAGGAGGTCACTTGCCACCGTTTCGCCTCGAAAGGAAAGGTCAGCAACTTGAAAATCTGGCTAAAGCCGTGTTAAAAGTAGCCAAGCCTGGTCATACCATAGTAGATTTTTGTTCAGGAAGTGGGCATCTGGGTATCATACTCGCTTACATGTTGCCTCGATGCCAGTTGATACTGCTGGAAAACAAAGAAGAGTCTCTTGTAAGAGCCCGTAAGAGAGTCTTGAAATTAAAATTAACCAACGTGATTTTCTGTCAGTGTAATCTTGATTACTTCTGCGGGGAATTTGACGTAGGTGTTTCGTTGCATGCTTGTGGAGTGGCGACGGATCTGGTGATCCAGCAATGTATCAGTCAGAATGCAGTATTTATCTGCTGTCCGTGTTGTTATGGCTCGGTTCAAAATAATCACATCTTAACATATCCGCGTAGCCAGGTTTTCCGAGATTCCGCAATGACCGTCCGCGATTACCTGGTGTTGGGACATTCGGCCGATCAGACTCACGATGAACACAACGTGAAAACGGATCAGGGGAAGATATGCATGGGCATAATCGACACCGACCGATGTCTGCAGGCTAAAGAAGCTGGTTACTCGGTAACTCTCGCTAAACTTATTCCAGAAACTTGTACGCCAAAAAATAATTTGCTGGTTGGGATACCAAAAAATTGGCAGTGATTTTGATTCCATGTTTCGATGCTGCCATTTAACCGATGCTTCAATGCGTGTCTGAAAGTAAAATTACCCTGGGTTGTCAGATTTCAGTACGTCCGATCAACTTACCTCCAAACATATTATGCAGAATTCTTTGTGCAATTGAAAATTCAAAGTACCGTTCACTATATATTATGAACCCCCCCCAAGAAGGAGATTGCCAGATTATTTTACTGAGGCCACGATCTTCCCAGGCCGGGAGGTGGTACGGCTTGGGGAGGCTAAAGCGGTGAAAAGTCAAAAGAAAACCAAATGAAACTGCTTCGAATAATCAAAGTATATTATTTAATGAAAAATATTTAAATATAAGATAAACAGAACCAAGACACATTTCAGGGCTCAAACTCCGGCTGGGTATGCGACTCCAGATGCCCAACTCAACCCCCACACACCCTGACTTGCCTTCCGCCTTTTTCCTCGAGTCGTTCTCTCTCTGGCCGACACACACAGACTGTTTTTACTGCCCTGCTGTCTGATCAGGGTCTCGAAGCCGCCAACTCCAAAGAACTTAGAGAGGGGAGATAAGCCACTTCGAGCCATGAGGCATGGCTCAATTAATACGAGTTATAGTTTGGGGCGATCAGATATTCTGCAAATAATGGGATTATACCTTCATTGTGTTTTGGTTCCCAGCTCTGAAACCTTAAAGAGTGCAGAAATCTTAATTTTAGTGGTGGGGAAATGCCTATGGGATTTATTGTCCAAGAGACTCATTTCCTGGTGTGACAGTATTAAATATTTTTGTAAATTAGCCAAGCAGCTGCCTCCTGATTGGCTGCGTTTCTGGTTTTTATTAGCTTCTCCCCCTCTGTGCCTTGTCACCCAGGGTTTCAGAGGTCGGACCTGAATAGTAATGTGGGAAGTGAGAACTCGGGTGGGATTCAGTCGTATGGTCACTCACGAGCCCAAAACACTAACCTGTGAGAGAAAATGAATTTTATTTTGTATGATTTGAGGTTTTGAGTCTGAAGACGACCGTCTTCTGCGTTGTTGGGCTGCGTAGTCTGGTAGAAGATTGCCGACGTATCAGAGATCTTAGCTACCTCCAGTATCAGGGTGCCCTGATGATGGCGGCAGCAGCAAAGACCCCATCTTGAATTTTATTAATGGATTATACACTTTCATATCGTCTAAAAATAATATTAACAGCACGAGAATTTTAAGATTGAAAATATTTGGTAGGAATATAGGCTTTTTGATTTCTGGCCAGAATTGTTGTAATATATTCAATTTTTTTTTGGGGGGGGGGTGTTAATCATTGGGAGACAATTGACAATCCAGTATATGAATTTGTTATTCTTATTGTTTATGAACTCAAAAATGTGTTTGATTGATTCGATAATGACTGTAGAGGAAAAGAAGTTTTTATTGTATGGTTTTTATGAAATTATTGCTTTAAAATTAAATAGACTTTAATTGCGGAAGAACAAAAATTGATTCCTGTAGAGCTTTTATTTTTAAGAATGTTGGAAATTAATTCTGCGTAATATGGTAGCATAACTGTTTGAGACCAGTTTCGTAATTTTTATTTGCAGTTAAAGTGAATACTGTTCATTTTAAATTAAAATTGATGTACCACAACATGTGTTGGTGTCCTCGTTTTAGAATGTTGTCACCCTGTATTAATGTGTTGATACCTGTAAACAAGGTTTTGTCTTGTCATTATTTGTTTCGTGAATTTTATTTTGTGTTCTTATCTGAGTGTGTTGATCAGTTTTACTTGTTATAATGTATACTGAATTTGATATAATAAAAATATTCCAATTTGTGACACCTGTATGTACATGAGATGGTTGGGGCATGTAGCATGCGTGGTAAAGATAAATGCATAAACAGTTTTGGTTGAAAGTCTGAAGGGATTATACCACTGCGTTGACGTAGGCTTAGGTGGGAGGATAATATTAAAATGGACCTTTGAGAAATAGGGCACGGTAACGTTTAATGCTATCTTTACTTATCTAATTTTAATTCTTACGTTATTTACTAAGTTTTTAATATTTTGCAGAGTTGTCTGTTTGAGAGTAAAAATATGTAACTTGTTTTTACTCGGGGACGCTGGCATGTCTGCTTTAAAACTAAATTTGGTAGGTGTTTCGACTGATAAGTAGAATTATCTTTCATTTGAATATGTACTAGACTGCATCTGTTGCAAAATTGAAGAGCTTAACTGAAAGGCAGTGGTTACAGGTCCTGAGTAACTTCACAACTAGTTTCCATCGACTGAACAATTTACAGAAAGTTTGGTCGTGGAAACTCTATCCAGACCTCAATATCGCGCGAACTTCGTAACATCTATTCACATATTTACGCACTATTGGACAATCGTCTCAAAGACGGGAAAGAGGTTCCATTAAGTGCTTCAAAACAATAAATTGGTATCTGACTCCGTCTTCTAGTCCACTCGCTAGGATAATTACATGGGTCATTAAATCAAAAATACAGGAAGCGAAGAGCAAAAGTGGACTAACAGCACAGAAACAAATAATCTTACGCATAGGAGAAACTGAACAACAAGGCCCACAGAATAATGGAGGGTGAAGATCATATTGGTTAGCCATGTAGCATGCACAAAGACGACGTGATTGTTAGGTTGAAAATTTCGAAGGAATAAGTAACCATTTTGGAGATCTATGAGTAGATGGATAATAATAAAATGGATTTTTAGGGAGTAGTGTGTGTAAGAATATACTATATTTGACATCCTCAATTTCAGGATATTGTGATCACGTTAATACACTTTCATGTACCATAAAAGACGGACATATTTATTGACTAGGTGAGTGACCATCTTAGTAAGAAATCAACTTTTCGTGGTAACGTACTGCCTTGAGCTTCAGGGTTTAACTTATTCGTGAAGTAAGGTTTGATGGTCTTATGCGACGTCGATAAGAGCGACCTCGGTTATTCATAGATTATTCAGATTTGTAACTGACGTCCATGTTCTTATATTCAGCGCGGTGAATATTTTATATTTTTATAGTTAGTTCATGACCATTCAGGTTTTGTTGTAATAAATATGCGTTGTCAAACTTTTGACAGCTAAACCAGGCAGTGGAGGTCCATACGCGTAGATAAGCTGACGAAAAATGACTGCCAGATTTGTTTTGCCTTTCACATGTAAAAAGCAAACCGTCTCATAATCATATTTGTCGTATGCCAAGCACCTGCTACTGTATATAAATGGAGAACGCTGGTGTGGCTGAAACTTTCTAAACGTGACGGAGTTTTACAGAAATACCTCAAGATCGTCTCCCGAAAGGGCTTTTAAGACTAGCGATTTTGAATATTACGATTATGCTATTGCAAAGATTGCGTTTATGATTAATTTGTTTGATATCTAAACGTACATTTGCCTCAGATACTTTAATTTTACTCTCGAACGAATGACTATACCTAGCAACGATTAACTATTGTAAATATTAGTTTTAACGTTGAATAATTTTAAACTTTAATTTGGCCTGGCCATAAAAATCATATGTAAATTTGGATGTTTTCAAATAAATTCGTGTATTTATTCAGACACACAATAGCTGTGTTAATATACTCCGCGTCGTATAGGGAACCTGTCCATAACATATTACAGGTTGGAAACAGAGGCTCCATCTTCTGATTTTATAAGTTAATATAAATCATAAATGCCTGCAGGAGCGAGTAGAGCGGATTTGCTGTACCCACTGTAATTAAAAGTTTTCTAACTATTCAAAATTTATATTCTTTTCCTCCCAGAATATGAAAACGCAGAGGAGTTTTAATAGCTGATTTTAGATACGACTTACTTGCCTGCTGGGACTATGGTGTTTGCTTCTATATCAATGCAGTGCAGTTCAAAACAAAGTAAACTGGGTCAGTGGTGCAGTAATTTAAATCGACCCAAGTGGTTTCTCATTAAATTTAGCGTGACAATAAAATATAATTGTCGTAGGAAGATTATTTTCATTGCAACTTAAAGACATTATTTCATTACAAAATGGCTCCACCAGACATTATCAGTACTACCCAACGTGCCTTTTTCATCGTGAGAATTTCATAATTACGGATAATAATTTATTTTCCATTAGCATCGTTTTATTCTGTCGATAATTTTTAAATGATTAAAAGTAATTCATTTGAAGGAAGGGTGTTAGGAATTGTGACCAGAAAATAGCGCAGTTAATCAATGTAACATTTACAGTAACAGTTAAGTCGGAAAACGCCTATAAATATTTTTAGGAAATTGACAATTACAACATATTTTCAATAATAAGGATGAATTATGTAATGGGAGACAGACATATTATTGGCCTTAATCATTAAAGTTTATGACAATTTAATTGTTTTAACGTTCTAATTCAACAGCTACAGGAACCAGTTACAGATTCAGTAGATTAAATAAATTCAAACAAGTAAAAACAAATATATTAACCAAACACTTGTATATGTAGTCATTCTAAACATATCGTATCGAGAAAGTGCCCTCTGATAATCCCATACCTCATCGGAAACTTTGCGACTAATAGCTATCGATATTAATTAGTTTCACTTCAGTAGAGCGAGTTTTCTCTGTTAACACTCTGGCATTAGGATGTGTGCTGCAGCAGAACTCAGGGTTAGAGGAAGGTTTTCCTGTCTTAGTGTCACCAGCAGTGCAAATCCATCAGCAGTAATTGCCTACGTAAGACATGTGGACAGCTAGGAAATTGATGAGATGAAATTAAGTGACATTAATTATCTAGAGGGTACAAGGGACACGCGCAAAACCTATCCGTGGAGCTGACCATCTTCCAACTCTCGTTTCTTCCAACAATTCCAGTTTTACAGAAATTAAACATCGATTTAACATCAATAATAGAGATGAATCGATAATGCAATTATAGTTTCAAAAGAAGTGATACAGTCAAATGATTACTCTAAGAATTGTTACGAATTCTCGAAAACTCCACGGTGTATAATTCGTTTATTACCATCCGAAACGATATAATATCTACCCGTCTGTATCAATAGTTTGCAGCGTTGAATTATACGCTCATGCCTTTGTTCGGAGACCGACTGCCATTCCAAGGTTAGCCATTTACTTGAGTAGGGAGATTTTTCTCAATAAAATCGGGATGTATTCTTCATGCGTCTAAATTTAAATATTCTACTCGTTCAAGTGCATAATGGAACGTGTACGTTTTATGAGTATCAAATTTGTAGCTATACCTCAAGAATTAGAATACATAATTTCAAGAACACTCCCCATATCTCAACGTTTTAAAAGTATAATATAACATAAAAGTTTTATACATTAACGTATTTAACATTTCACAGAAATAATAGTTCTATTCAGATATTTTTTACGCGTATGAAATCATATTATAAAACGCTATTTGCTGTCTTCGGGGGGTTATATATTATTAGCGAAGAAAGTAACTCCATTGGCCATGCCATAGCTCGGGCTTTTCACCGCGGAGACCCGAGTTAGTGCTCAGGTCAGTTCATTTGTGTTAGTCGTAGTGGCACTAGGATAGGTTTTCCTCCGAGTACATTGCTTTTCTCGTGGCAATTTCATTTTCACTCATATCACCTGAGGTATGGACAAAAGGTCCTGTTATGAGGCCCAATTTCACAAAGACATGTTTCACCTCATTAATTTCTTGGGACTTTTTGAATATCCTATAAATGAAACTGCATGGATGGATCAGAATCGCCGCCCATTTCGTTCAGGAATCCTCGACTTTTATAAATATAAAAATTAAATTACTCTACACATAAGATCCCGTTATAGAACACTATCCTGAGCCAGTTGAATCCATTTAAAACCCTAATATTTTATTTTTGTGAGTTTTATTATATCTACCCCTGTCAGGTTTTCCGAGCAAAATTTTCGTATTTCCCACATGCGTACTACATGCCCTGCTGAATTTTACTTGATTCGTCCAAAGCTGCGCTAAAGTTTTAAAGGAAATCTTTTATGTACTTTCTCCAACCTAGTGATTTGTCATTGAAATAATCTATTCCCAATGACCAGGATTGGAGCTGGGCTAAACAAGGAGAAGAAATATTTTGAAAGAATGTATAATGTTTGCAAACTCCGAACGTAATTATATTTATTGCCTTGTTTCTTATGGTATTTATAAAAGAATATGCTTAGAAAATCTTTTGCGGTATGATCATTTACATCATCGATACATACCGAAATTCTTAAGAATTAAGTATACTTTGCATACAGGCTGAATCTCATTCGACTTGTAAACAAGAAGATATTTAGTTTAAAGTCTTATATTTTATGTGTTAATTGATCTGTAACAAGGTCTTAAATTAATACAAGTTGCCCTTCTTACGGAGCACTAAAGTTATGTGGACGGTGTTGCCATCTGCTTAAAGAAATTGTAACCACGGCAATATAGTCCAATAAGCAATGAGCAGCATTTACATCGGCTTCCGCTGCCTGATTTTGGGTGCTCTGCTGACGTTGAGCGATGAGGTAGGTCACGTGATGATTGAATTGCATCATCTGTTTGTAGTTACAAGACGAGACAAGTCTCGACTTGTCGTGTGTTTCCGTTTATGTACACGATCGGAGAGGTAGGTGTGTTAACTGATTAAAAAGAAAGTGTGTGTGTGTGGTGTTATTATTTATTAAGTATGTGTAAAACATCGAAAATAAATGCATGTGAACTAATGCGAAGAACGGTAGTAAACTTAAAAACCCTTTACGTCTTAAGGTACCAGTTACTGGCGCCATTTTATAATGTGGGGTGTGTAGTTTCAGATCTCTCAGTGTTATTATTGTTTAGTGTCTTGTGTAAACAG